CTGGGGCTGGAGGGGTGGGGGGGGAAGGCAAGGGCGCTGTAAGAGCCTGAAACTGAAGCAGGGCCCTGCTGCCTCCTGGGGGGCTGTGGTTGTCTGCGCTCCCGTCTCTTAATTGGCATCATGTGGGGGAGCGGGCGGAGCGGTGACAGCTGCGACAGGCGGGACGCATCCCGGCGGAGCGCTCTGGTCGGCCCAGCGCCGCAGCCCCGGCCGGTGGCGGGGGCAGGGGGGACGCCGGGGAAGCCCCTGCCCTCGCCCCATCACCGGGCTGACCTCCCGGCAGCTTCTTAGCCGCGAAGGGCTCTGCTTTCCTCGCCCCTCTGGCTGCATGACCGCTTGCGGAATGCAGGGCAGCGCAGCTCCAGCGACCTGCGCTCTGCCTGCGGGTCCTCCGCTGTTTCCCCTCTCGCTGCTGCTGCCCCGCGAAGTCGTACAAAGAAGCGGCTGGCAGAGGTGCTTATTTGCTGTATTGGTAGGTGGTGTGTCAGGGTGCTAAGTGGAAGAGAAACTGCTTCAATCCAGCAATACAAAGAGAGCCTATATGTTGCCAAAGATGAAAATGTCCAACACAGAGATGTGTAGTTGCACGGATGTTCATTGCTTAAAGACAAGGCAAACTCTTCTGCAAGTCTGTTCTTCACCAGTGCTAAACTGGATAGAAGTTAAAATTTCACTTTGTGTGAACGACCCACCTCCTCTCTGCCGTGGGCCTGGCGGGAGAGCAGGACTGGCCTTCATGGGCGAGCTGGTGTCCTGCTGCCATTCAACATGGTCAAACTTGGATCATGTGGGAGAAGGTGTGTGAAGGGCTGATGTGGATGTGTAAGGAATAACTTGCCCCGAAACTTTCTTCCTAATGTCTTTGTGGAGGAGCAGGTCTTTGCCTTGAAGTGGTTTCATTAAAGAACATGCTCAGTGTCTGACAAGAAGATACTCAGCATCCCATGTACTGAGACAGTTATTTCCACTCTCCTTATCTTCTCTTTCCCATTTTAGATAGAAACAGGGCCCTAGCTTTTAAAGTTTGCAGCTGCCCTGATTTTCTTTTGGTCCAGCCTCATTTTGAAGAGGAATATCTATTTTAATATCTGGTTCAGGTCCTAAGTACTATCTGTATATTACAGAAACTATACAGTGGAAATATTCACAGGAGTGTTGGGCCAAATCATGCAATCCTTAAACTGGCAAGACTTGTGTAAGGCTGCATGCTTGGCCCCAGATAATCTCTTGAAGGACTTAACAGCATGGCACATAAAACTTGTTGTGAATAGGCTTTCGAATACTTCAAATGAAGAAGGCTCTCTTCTGATCTCAGATATGTGGATGCTTTTTGCCAAGTACCTTAAAGTCATGTTCTGCTTTTACAACGGGATGTGACAGTGCTTTTTTGTTCATTTGACACGCAAGCAGCATGCACCCAAATATTTGAAATGAGGGTAGCAATCAAAGTCTACATGTATACTGATGTGAAAAATGCCAGACTTACTAACTTAGCTGTAGTATGGTATAATACAAACTTAAGATTTAACCTCAGTTAAAATTGCTTGGTAATATGACAGTTTGGCAAAAGCTTTACAGAAAAAGCCTTCATAAGAAATCTGGAAGTATTGTATGTGTATGTCCATATATAATGGGAATGTTTAAACTGTTTCAATGGATCGATTGTGTCTGAGATACTATGTATGCCAGATAAACAACATGCTACCAGTTTTTATTCCTTAAAAAAAATCCACAGTTATTAAATATTTCCTCCCAGTATTTTTTATTTGTGCATATGTAGAGAACAATTTAAGATGCCCAGGCCCTAAAACAGGGTTATCAAAACAATGAGACTATGGAGTTTGTAGTACTGAATAATATATAAGGTAATGATCAATAGTCCCTTACAGGGAATACATTTCATCTTTGCGTTAGCTTGGCTATAAATTTTCCCTATTGGCTTCAACTTGTGCTTTGTTAGATTTATGTGATTCATGTCTGTTATTGATTAGTGCACAACTATTTTGTCGGAGATGCCAAATTAATTGTTCAAAAAATCCATGAAAGTGCTTTTTTATTGGCCACATGAGGCTCAACACATACTATACTGTTATTTTATTATTTCATGTAAATATAGTTTCCAATAAGCTTTAAAAATAGTTACACAGTGTGCTTAGATGTGAAAATTCACAAAATATATTGAAAATTCTACTCTGTGCTTTATTTTGTGGCTCAGAAAGGAGCGTAACGCAGCAGTGTGCTTCTGAACATTCCTGGGTAACTCCTGTGAGATCATTACAGTCTTACACGAGTGCTCTCAAATAGGAAGCAATTTCCATTTCTTCCACAAGGCTTCTAGGTTTATGCAGGGTTTGGCTGGTTGCATCCTCATTGAAGAGGTAAGCAATTTGCAGGGAAGGCTGCCAAAAAAACCCCAAACCCTCAGAACCAGAGGAGCTGATATTTGATACAGATACTTGCTGTACCGTGCACATTGATGCTGAACCTATGAGCTCTGCGGAAGCAGTGCTTCTCTGCAAAATGTCCTTATCTCTAGCGCACAAATGTCTGAGCGATCTTGCTGTTGCGTGCACGGGAGGACTTAATAATTCATACACTATTACTTAGGTTTAGAATATTTTAGTTTTTGAATTTGAGATGAATAAAAAATAACACACCAGAGAGAATGATTGCTATCTAGACAGAAATGTATGAGACTCTGGCCTGTACTAAGGATTTTCAGTTCTCAAGCCTCTGGAAGATCATACTGTGAGTAAATCTTTCCCCATATTCCCAATTCATTGGTGCCTGGATGTAGATCTTTTGGTTCCATGTGTAATGTTGTTTTTATCTCACAATTCTGATTCAAATGTATTTTTTCAGAATTTATTTTCCAAGACAAATTTCATAGGTTGTTTAATACTGCTAATTTTGGCAATCTTAAAAACTTGTCTTCTTTTCTTTGTATTATTTGTTGTGCAAATCAGAATATGACTGAACTTTAGATATGTGTTTAGAAATGATGAGAAAGATTGAGAGTAATCTTTAAATTTGTTATGTTAATGCTGCCTGCAATGCATCATTTTATCAGAGACTCAAAGGGCTTCACTATTCAAATATCGTACTTTAAGATATATTAATTTGTTCTTTATCTTTCTCCAAACAACTCTGAGAATGGGAAAACACTTTTGAAAATAGCTGCTTGTCACTCAGGGATCAGTCACATCTGAAAAAGAAGTATCTTTCAATGGAAACAATATGTACATTGTCTGTTTTTTCCTGCATTTTATAGGTATACTGGAATTTATCAGTATAGCAGTGGGCTTGGTCAGCATCCGAGGAGTTGACAGTGGACTCTACCTTGGAATGAATGAGAAAGGAGAATTGTATGGCTCGGTAAGTTCCCGCTAGCCTTGGGCAGTCATGATCTTTACATTCTGTGGGAAAATACTTGCTAGCTTCTACAAGCCCCTGTTGCACTTGATGCTGTATGAGCACTGTTTCTGCTCTAAATATTTTGCAGTCTAACTTGAAACAAGACCCTGTGGGTGGTATAACGAGTACAGGAGAGGGAAAAGGTGACAAAATCAGCAACGAGTAATAATGCAGATGGACGACAATTTATAAACAAGCAATGGAATGACTGATGGCCAGAGCTGGTCACTGAAGACTAAAGGATATACTGTAAGATTTGTAAACGTGTCCTTTCAGTAGAGACCTAAAACGAGACAAAGTCACTGCCTTTTGTGTATAGGCAGAGAGCTTTCTAGGAAATGACAAAAGAGGGGGAGGTAAAGGGTGCTATATGTGGATGAGAAGATCAGAAATGGGAGTGGATACAAGTTATAGAAAGTATAGGAATGAGGGCAAGAGGCTTGGTGGTCTTGCCTTGAAAGTTCAGCTGGTGCTCCCTGAGGGATGGCAGCAGGAGTGAGTAACTGGTGTGAGGGAGGAGTAACACTTGGTATTTCAGATGTGGGAGTTAGTCTGGTTTGCCAGCCTATCTGCAGCTGGCGGGTAACTGTTCTCATCAACATGGGCTGTCTTTGTGTGTGTGTGCGTGTGCAATGTGATCCTTATCTGGGAATACTTGAGACATGTGATGTACACTGGGGTTCATGCCCTGGGTAGATCGTGGGCAGGGGGAATCTGAAGTCACGCAGGTAACTCCCCAAACAGTAGAAGGCAACCTCTTCTAGCAGTAAGGTATCAACCTCTGAAGTTGACAAGGGCTAGAGAAGCAGTTGTATTTGAAGAAGAAGATGTCAGGCTTGAAGGGTAAGCAAATGTGTAAAGTGAAGGGAGGCTGTTCACTGGGGTTTGTGAGAAGTGTGAGGAGAAGATGATAATGGTCCACTGATGGTGTAACTGTTGCAAAGAGAGAATTGAAAAGGAGTTAAAGTGACAGAGTGTAGCTTGCTTGGGTGTAGCTGAAAATACCTCTGTCGGAGGGGAGTAATGGTAACTAGGGAAAAGGTGGGGAGGGAACTGAGTGGGACAGCAGTGAGAGTGGGGGGAAACACGAGAAGATGGTGTTGAGTGGGCAGGTGAAAACAGAAGGAGTAAGAGGGAAGTCCAGCTTCCATATATGTGATCCATGGAGGAGTGTGAAGAAGCAAGACCAGGAAGGTCCAGCAGAAGTGGTTTTATAGGGGTGTGTCCAGGTTCACGATGCCTTTCTGGTAATATTTTGTGTGAAAGGGGAAGGGAACTGTCTCCTTAGCAAAGAGCAGGCTAGTGGAGGAGGACAGAAGGTGCAGATCATGACAGTGTATGTCTGAGGCAGAAAAAAGAAGTGGTAGAATGAGGGGAAAGGCTGGGATGGAGAATGTGTGGACATGGGAGAAGGGGAGATGCAGAAATGGTGAGAACTGGTGAAAGGCCAAGGAAAAGGGATTTCACATAAGTGGCAATATGGAGGAGGAAAAGGTTGGAAGGATGCAGAGGAAGAGAAAAAGGGAAAGGGTGCAATGACAGATGTAAACAAGTTGCCTGTGAGGAGTGAGTAAGTTGTTAAGTCACAATTCTTAAGCAGCTGAATGGGATAAAGAACTGGCAAAGCTGTGAGTTACTTTTATGGTTCAGTTAGGCAGCAAAAAGGCAGAACAACAACAGTAATATGAATCAGTAATGTTGATAATTATCAGTAAGAGTAATCGTTTAAACAGATAAACATAATGAATCAGTTAATCTACACTTCACATACTCAAAAAAAGAAAATGTGATTATTGGTAGAGCTTAAATGCATAGACTTGGGAAAGCGAATGTTACATCACTTTTCTGTTCAATTTATAATTTGTGTTTGCAATACGTTTGACTGTCAGAGTGAATTACTCAAAACATTCTTTGCTGAACAAATATGCACAAGAAATTCGTTGTAAATTACTAAGTTCACTGCATTAATAAAATAATTGTTCCAAGAACAGCAGTTCTAAAGGAGCCTGCTTTTGTAGGGGTTTGTGTCTCACAGTCCAAGATGTGGGTCTCCCTGACCTTCTGTCCCTGCAGTAACACAAATTCCCCAGCCTTTTGTGTTTCTTGCATGGAGAAAGAGACAGTGTTAGCTGTCCATGCTCACTGGATTGTCAGTTTGCAGGGATTACATAGCTCACCGCTCCCAAGTGGGATATGCAGATGATTTCTCTTCTTTACCCTGCCTCTGATTAGTTGCAAAACTGATAGGAACTTAATTTTCTTGAAGACCTTTGCCTCCTGACTGAAACTGGTTGAAAAGCTAAGGAAGGACAGACAGGCAGGCAGATGGATGTACAATATAATTGGATAACCTCTTTTCCCTAAGAAATGACGCTAAAAATAAGAAGCCATTCATAATGGAGAACTGGCGATCTACAGGGCCAGAATGCAAAGTTCAGGTTAAAATCTGATGGATGATATGGCTTATTGTCAGCCTGCAGAGATGGGACGTACTAAAGAGTGATGGTAATTGAATTACATTACTTCCAATGAAATATAACCTCTAATGGCTACTCAATGTGATGATGCTTTAAAGCCTTGTCAACACTAGCAGTCCTAGTGCCTATATTTCAGCAACTGTCAGCTTTCATAGAAACATCGAGATAAGCAGGCCTCAGAGCAGATTTTTGTGTAGAATTGGCTGGACATTTTTAAGTGACAGTGTTTTGCTTTTGGTTTTGGTCAAATAAATGCAATTAATTGAAAATGAAGTTCTCTGGTGGAATTAGATGTTTCAGTTTGAACCAGAAGCAAGGCACAATCCAGCACAGAATTATCTTTCTGGTGAGAAAGAATATCAGTTTAACTGAAATTAGTTTCGAGACTGGTAACTGATAGACTGAGGTTCAAGTTTTTTCACCTGAATTGAGTGGTCACCTGAGTTGAATTGTTCTGTAGACCCAGCAAGTTGTCATTGTGCTGCCTGTGCTCGGAGGTGGGTTCCTTTGTCTTGGTTTCTTCACTAAGGGGCCTGAATAGCATCAGCTTTGTCATGGAGCAGGTATATTTCTGAGGCTGTGAACATCTTTTTTCATCTTTTTTTTTTTTTTTTTTTTTTTTCCCTAAGGTGGAAAACCAGTTTCTTACGCACAACTGAATAGCAACCCAAGAAATACCTGGTCCTACTCTACATTAGCGTTGTGAATCTAAGCAGGTGTGTTTCTGCAGGCATTCAGTACTGCAGCACTTGATACTGCTGGAATAGATGCCCTGTGTCTATAACACTATCATACTTATATTTTTTCATTTGAAATATAATTTGAATATACTAGATGTGAATCAAATCAGCAACCTAAAAGACTTCTAGCCTTCTATATTTGTGTTTGAAACCTTTGGCACAGGAAGATTTTTCCCAGCATATTTGTGGTGCCGCTGGAGATGGGACATATGGCAAAGCAGAGCAGCCAGGTTGGGTGATCACTGCCAGTTTTCATGAAAGGCAACAGTAAAGGCAGTTTCAGTGTATCTTGGTTCAGACATGTTCCTCTTGGCCTTCTCAAAGTGCTGCTTTCCTCCTAAATTAGCTGCCTGACAAACTCTTCCCAACTTGCCACCGTTATAGAGGGCAGTTCTTACTGCATCTTCTGGTTAAAAGAGCAGGGTGACTCTCATGCTGCTCTTGGACAGCAACGTGTAACATAGGATGGCTGTTCTCAAGTTCCTTCTCATCCCATGGATTTAGCCAGGGAAAGCTGGAGATATAGGTATGTGGTACTGCAGAGAAGTCAGTGGTAGCTACGTAGTGATGTCTTGGAGACTGGTTGGTGACAGTAACTTTCCCTTGTGTCTTGCTCTGTTCCTGATCTCCTTTTACCTTGCCTTCCCCTTGCAGCCTGCAGCTATGACTCATCATGTTTCACAACAGTTACCGTGCTTGTCACTGGAGAGGAGGAAAATCCAAACTACAGATAGGACCGAAAGGGTATTGAGATGAGACATGAAGACCTTTTTCCTTCCCGAGTGCCAAATGACTCTTGCCAACATCTCTGGCAAGAGTGTTAGCAAATGTATCATAGCTGTGCTCCTTGGTGCCACGCCATGGAGTGAGGGAGGTCTTTCTGATCAGTCCCACAACCTCATGTCTTCAGTCTGTCCCCACCCTCGCACTGCTCTGCACTGCTGCCCTTGGGAATATCAACAGTTGGCACCCACATGGCAGGCAGTGATGAGCACTGACACCATGGGGTGCCCATAGTTTGCACTGCAGGTTGTCCTCTGAAGCAGTTCTGTGCTACCTCGAGCACAACAGGACCATGGGACATACTTGCCTCAGCTGCCCTCACTGTCCTGGGCTCTCCTGCAGTAGAGCGCTGTGCTACATCCTGCTGCTGGCATCCATGCCCCACTGATCTCCCATGGACACAGAGCTGCCCCACTGCTCTTCTCAGACTAGGTGTAAGGAAGAAATTTTTTATGGTGAGGGTGGTAAAACACTGGAACAGGTTGCCCAGAGGGGTGGTAGAAGCCCCATCCCTTGAAAGTTCAATGCCAGGTTGGATGGGGCTCTGAGCAACCTGATCTAGTTGAAGATGTCCCTGCTTATTGTAGGGGGCTTGGACTAGATGACCTTTAAACATCCTTTCCAGCTCAAACCATTCTATGTTCTGTGAAACGCTGGTGTCTCCACTGCTCGTTGTGTCCTTGGCAGGTGGCAAAGGCATCTTGGGTTGGATGCTCAGGAGGAAAATTGAGAGTTGGAAGATCTGGAGCAGCTACAAGGGGAGCTGTGCAGGAGGGAAGAAGAAGGCAGGAGTGGAGATGGTAGAATTGTTAGGGGAGGGGGAGAGGGCTAGAAGCTCTTGGAAAGAGAGGAGGGTAGAGAGAGACTTCATGTGCCGACAGAGCCAAAGAGCCCAGATCTGGAGCCAGGGAGGGAGGCTCCTCACCTCTGGATTTCAGACTTTCAGGGTGTGCACAGCAAA